AGACCATTCCCTGCCCGGGCACGGATTTGGCACGAGACCCCAGCCACCCAAACAAGATCCTCCAAGGAATCTCATTACTGTGCGCAGACAAACAAGGATGAACGTGGTTAGCACTGATTACCTCCTAATGGCAACAACTGGAAAGATCACCCATTAATTCCTTCTACCTGTGTCCACAGGGCTGCTCAGTTCCATTCCTTCTTCAGACCTGCTTTGCTCAGACTTTTTGTTAGTTCTGTGGGACACCTTCACAGCCTCCCTTATATCCTTAAGCAGCCTGAGTTGAGCTTCTGTTGCTAGCAACCAAACAACCCTGACACAAGAGCTTACTCCCTGCCAGACGCATGAACCCTCACCCCACAGCCTCCCTGAGAAGCAGCTAATGTGTTCCCATTCTGCAGATGAAGAAACTGAGGCTGAGTGTCTTGGGTAATTTAGGACCCACAACCAGTCCTTGCTGTAGCCAGCATTTGAACCAGAATCCAAAGCCCGGGCTTTCTCCCATCCGCCGCTCCATGCCACCAGCCCAACACCCTGCGTTTGAGCACAAGCTGCTGTCCTAGAGTGCCTGTCAGCATGGTGTTCCGTTTACAAAATGTGTTCACACACAACAACACGTGTAAGCCTCGCAGCCACCTGGGAGGAAGATATTTTCATGACCCCAAGTCTGGTCAGCCCCATTTTTTCCCCTTGCTAAAAACCTTTCTGTGACCCAACACAGCCTGCAGAGTAAGTCCGTCAGCCTCAGCATGGGCTCCCGGAGCCTTGAGATTCAGGCCCCAGGCCTCGGGGCAGCACTTTCTTTCTCGTACTTTGAGCTCCAGCCAGGATAGAGCTATTGGCCGTTCCCCCAAACCTGCCAGGCTGTTCGGAGCCTCTGAGCCGCCCGCCCCCCAACCTGGATGTCACCTTCCCCTGGCACCCTGAGTTCTGACTAGACTGACCCCCTCCCACCTCACACTTGTGAACCCTGCTTACCTTTCCAGACTCCAACGAAGCTCTTCTTCCTCCGGGAACCCTCTCCTGTGCCTCCTGCCCCGAGAAGAGCCAATACTCCCGCTGTGTCCTGGGCAGGAATCTGGGGTGACATCGCAGTGGACACTGAGGTTGACCCCTCACTATTTTCCACCTCAAAAGTCATTCCAATTCAGCCCTGCAAGCCCACCCTTCTTCAGGGACACTGGTCAGAGCGGCCAGGGGTGTTTAAGTCCCGTCTCTGATTCACTGGGCTCTTCTCTGCCACAGGAGCGTGGGGACCCAGGCCACGGTGCTCACCCCGCCCCAGCGTCTGTGCCTGTGTGGGGGACCATGCTAGTTCTCCTGGGACGACTTCCCTACTGGGGTGGAAAGTGACGGAGTCCCCCCAGCTCCTTTCCGGGAATCCAGCCTGAGGCAGCAGCGGCCGCTCCTGCTCTTGTGTCTCAGGGAAGAGGGGCTCCGGTTGTCCTCCAGGTGCCCCCAGGCTGCTGGGCTTTCCTGGTGGGCGCCCATGTGCACAGACTTCATTCTGTCTGTCTCCGTCTCACCACGGCCTCCACCTTCGGAGCTGCTCGGCCCCACGCCCTGGGCTCCGCAGGCAGTAACTCAGCTGATGAGCAGCAGCCGCGCTCAGGCCACAGCTGACCGGGAGTTGAGGGGATGAGCCGCTATCCCTCCCTCGCAAGGCTGTTGGCACGTTTGCAGGAGAGTCCCAGTGGCATCCGCTTTTCTCAAACGTCAGCAACTTGCCACGCTCTGTGCTGGATGCTTTTCTCATTTAATTTTTACAGCTATTTTGTAATTTTTATTTATTGCCATTTTGTAGATGAGATTGCTGACGCTCAGAGAGGTTAAGTAACTTGCCCAGGATCACACAGGTGTAACAGGAGCTGGGGCTGAAGGCCGTTTGGCCGGCCCGGGACCCTGCAGCCGCCGCAGGTGTGCCTGCCTGTCCTCGCGGCCTCCTACACAGCCAGTTCTGTTTGTTCCACGTCACCTACGAAAGGGAAGCAGCATCAAACCCACTCACAGCGATGTCCTTCAGTGATCGCAGTCTAGAATTTTCTGTTGGGGTGTGTGTGAGGGAGCAAGAACCCACTGTTAGGTCTGATCAAATAGTTGAATCGATACCCCCACCCTGGGAACGGACCTCTAGGCCACCTCTCAATGGACATTCCCTTTCGCTTCGGTCACAGTCCACTTGCTAAGACCATTCTCCTTCCTCTCCCGACCTTCCCAGGATTCCCGGGACCCTGACCGCCCAGAGAACTCTCCGCCTGCCCGGAAAAGCCCGCCTAGAGACTTTAAAATCCCTGACTCCCCATCGCTGGGTGCAGGCGTCATTTGGGGGCTCAGCCCACCTGGTCTCCAGATGACATAATACATTTATAATCCCTTAGCACTGTTGGCCTCTGAGTTCCTCCCAGGAGACCCTAACACTCACGCCCCAAAGTCACACAGGTTGAAAAGATGAACTGCAGGCATTTTGGACTGCAGAGCCCCTGCTGGGGGAAATGGGGGGCTGAGGGGGGGATGGAGGAAGGGGAGTGGGGATGGAGAAGAGGAAGTCCCTGGAAGTGGACAGAGTGAGGGCAGTAGGGCCTGGCCTGGCTTCTTGGGGGCGTAGCCTGAGGCTATGGCGATCTAAGAACAGTGACCAGCACTGAAGAAGGTTCTAAGTCCCAAGGAAGATGAGTACAGTGGGTCCTGGCCCTGAGCACTGTGAGCAGAAGGTTTTGAAAAGATCAAAGAGGCATTTCTGCAATCAGTGCCCCCCCTCAGCGCGGCTTCATCGGGTGGGCTTGTGGTGCAAGGCCAGGCCCACCAGGTGGCAGCAGAATGCCAGTCAGTGGCCAGCAAGGTGTGACTTGGCACAAGCTCTAACCAGGAGCTGGGACGGGGAGGTGGCGGCCACTTCTAAACTCAAGGCAGGTTGAGCTGGGCCAACGGGGTAATGGGTCAGGTCAGGCAGCCTCCTGGTACGGTTCACACGATGTTGCTAAACTTATTCTGTACCGGCCACTGTGTCAACACGTGGTGAGCATGATCTCTTTGAACTCACACCGCTAACCCTTGGGGCTCCAAGGGATTTATGATTTGCCCAAAGTGACAGAGTGAAGAGATGATGGGGTGTGGAGGGGGTGAGGGGTGCGCAATGCTGTCACAAGTCACTAGGAAGTGTGGAGGGTGAGGGCAGGCAGGGCCTGGCCTGGTCCTAGAATAGAGCCTGAGTCCTAGGCCAGTCCAAGGACAGTGCCTAGGAGCCTAGTCAAAGGGAACTTGGGGGGCACTTCCAGGAAACAGGATGTGGTGGGATTTTCAGGCCGAGGTTCCTTGGGAACCCTATTCGAAGAAGCCCCACCAGCCAATCCTGGGCACCTAACCCTGACAGGACTGGGTACCTCAGAAGCTGCAAACCACTCAAAGTCCCAAAGAGAAGTCCTTGTACAGTCTGAGCCGGACTTACTTGCTGAACTCCGAAGAGCAGAGGCACTGGAAAGCATGCCCCAGACAGGTCACAGTGTCCCCAGTGTGCTGGGTCTGGCCCTGTAGCGCCTTCTGGGGGAGGGGAAGATGCCAGCGGTTCTGCAGTCTCCAGGCTGGAACAATGCCCCGAACGCAAGGCCCCTGAATGACCACTCGGTACCCGGGGACTGGAGTGAGACTGGAAGCTTCCCCTTCCCCTGAGGTCCAGGTCAGTCCCTCCCTCCTCACTGGTCTTGCTGCCAATCATCCAGGGGCCTAGCTGTCCAGCCCCGGTTCACACAGACCTGTGGCCCCTTGGCTCGGAGCAGTACCTGCCACAGGCCTTTGTGAGAGTTACTGGGCATTGCCCCAAGTTTCAGCTTGAAACTGCTTTCCCCAAATCCGTGGACACCGAGAGCTTGTATCCTTCCGGACTTTTGAGCAAAATCTCCTGAATCAGCCTCAGTCCTGGGAACCCAGACCAAGTCATGTTCTATTATCCTGCCTCAGGGCCTTTGCACTGCTTCTTCTCTCCGTCTGCAGTCTCTTCCTCCTTCTTCCTATGGCTGACTCCTTCTCATGTAGGTCTCAATTTACGTTTTCTCTCCTTTCTAGAAAGGCTTTCCCTGTCTCACCTAATGGGATGAACACCCCTCTTTCTGTTCTGTCTCTCCCTGGCCATTTCCAGTGATGCCTTGGTTCAGTATGTCCTCACACAGGACAATCTCACATGGTCACTGGAAACCCACAGGATTTGGCAGGAGTGGACCCCTCATATGTTATGAGGAAGGAGAACTTAGTGGCCATTTAGTCTACGAGCTCAGGGTTGAGAAGGCTCAGATTGCCTGATTCTGGTGGTGTTTTGTCTGGTTTGTTCACGATAGTTACGGAGAGCTGGTGAGCAGAGGTAGCTGTCTGTCCCACGGAAACGCTTCTGGCATCTACACGTTTGATAATCAGGTTCAATCAGCCCTGTTTTCCATTAGATTCTACCTTCAAAGAGAAAATCTTATCTGCCTCTCCCCGGGGGACAGTTATCTCTGAGAACATCACAACGAAATCAGGGAGCTCAGCTTCGGAAGTCTTAGGGGTGTTCTATTTCCTCTTCTTGACCGGAAGGGGGTGGGCCTCGATGGGCTCTAGCTCTAAGCCTGGAGGCTCTTCAACCCTTGGAGGCTGCATGAGGGCGGCTGTGAGGGGCCCAGTTCCATCGAAATGTTAGATAAACAAATATAATCTCTTCAGTAAAAATAGGTCTCATGCAGTAAAAGGGACATATTTATTCTAATAAATGAGCCACAGTTCATCACTTTTAAAGTATTAAAATTATTGTTCTTCTGAAATTCAAACGCAACTAGCATCCTGTATTTTAAGCAGCGACCCTACAGAGGAGGGACCAGCGTTGAAAATAAATGGCTTCCCCAGGATGAAGGAAAACAGAAGCCATAGTGAGCCATGACTTTTTGAGGGGAGGAATGAAGTTGGTTCCATTCACGCCAATTAAGCAATCACAGATGACCCCCTCAGAAATCCAAACTCATGACTAACATGGGACTCAAGACCAGGGGGAAAAGAAAGATTAAGAGAGGAGAAGCAGTCTTCACACACAGGGCAGCTGCAGTCGGAGGACGACCCCATCCAGAGGTAAGAGCATTGCCTTCTCATGCACAGGGAGGCCTGTTCCTTCAGGGCCAGGGTCCCAGTGCACAGGGAGGCCTGTTCCTTCAGGGCCAGGGTCCCAGTGCACAGGGAGGCCTGTTCCTTCAGGGCCAGGGTCCCAGTGCACAGGGAGGCCTGTTCCTTCAGGGCCAGGGTCCCAGTGCACAGGGAGGCCTGTTCCTTCAGGGCAGGGCCAGGGTCCCAGTGCACAGGGAGGCCTGTTCCTTCAGGGCCAGGGTCCCAGTGCACAGGGAGGCCTGTTCCTTCAGAGCCAGGGTCCCAGTGCACAGGGAGGCCTGTTCCTTCAGGGCCAGGGTCCCAGTGCACAGGGAGGCCTGTTCCTTCAGGGCAGGGCCGGGTCCCAGTGCACAGGGAGGCCTGTTCCTTCAGAGCCAGGGTCCCAGGGCACAGGGAGGCCTGTTCCTTCAGGGCAGGGCCAGGGTCCCAGTGCACAGGGAGGCCTGTTCCTTCAGGGCCAGGGTCCCAGTGCACAGGGAGGCCTGTTCCTTCAGGGCAGGGCCGGGTCCCAGTGCACAGGGAGGCCTGTTCCTTCAGGGCAGGGCCAGGGTCCCAGTGCACAGGGAGGCCTGTTCCTTCAGGGCAGGGCCAGGGTCCCAGTGCACAGGGAGGCCTGTTCCTTCAGGGCCGGGTCCCAGTGCACAGGGAGGCCTGTTCCTTCAGGGCCAGGGTCCCAGTGCACAGGGAGGCCTGTTCCTTCAGGGCAGGGCCAGGGTCCCAGTGCACAGGGAGGCCTGTTCCTTCAGGGCCAGGGTCCCAGGGCACAGGGAGGCCTGTTCCTTCAGGGCAGGGCCAGGGTCCCAGTGCACAGGGAGGCCTGTTCCTTCAGGGCAGGGCCAGGGTCCCAGTGCACAGGGAGGCCTGTTCCTTCAGGGCCGGGTCCCAGGGCACAGGGAGGCCTGTTCCTTCAGGGCAGGGCCAGGGTCCCAGTGCACAGGGAGGCCTGTTCCTTCAGGGCAGGGCCAGGGTCCCAGTGCACAGGGAGGCCTGTTCCTTAAGGGCAGGGCCAGGGTCCCAGTGCACAGGGAGGCCTGTTCCTTCAGGGCAGGGCCGGGTCCCAGTGCACAGGGAGGCCTGTTCCTTCAGGGCAGGGCCGGGTCCCAGTGCACAGGGAGGCCTGTTCCTTCAGGGCCGGGTCCCAGGGCACAGGGAGGCCTGTTCCTTCAGGGCAGGGCCAGGGTCCCAGTGCACAGGGAGGCCTGTTCCTTCAGGGCAGGGCCGGGTCCCAGTGCACAGGGAGGCCTGTTCCTTCAGGGCCGGGTCCCAGGGCACAGGGAGGCCTGTTCCTTCAGGGCAGGGCCGGGTCCCAGTGCACAGGGAGGCCTGTTCCTTCAGGGCAGGGCCGGGTCCCAGTGCACAGGGAGGCCTGTTCCTTCAGGGCCAGGGTCCCAGGGCACAGGGAGGCCTGTTCCTTCAGGGCAGGGCCGGGTCCCAGTGCACAGGGAGGCCTGTTCCTTCAGGGCCAGGGTCCCAGGGCACAGGGAGGCCTGTTCCTTCAGGGCCAGGGTCCCAGTGCACAGGGAGGCCTGTTCCTTCAGGGCCAGGGTCCCAGGGCACAGGGAGGCCTGTTCCTTCAGGGCAGGGCCGGGTCCCAGTGCACAGGGAGGCCTGTTCCTTCAGGGCCAGGGTCCCAGGGCACAGGGAGGCCTGTTCCTTCAGGGCCAGGGTCCCAGGGCACAGGGAGGCCTGTTCCTTCAGGGCCAGGGTCCCAGTGCACAGGGAGGCCTGTTCCTTCAGGGCCAGGGTCCCAGTGCACAGGGAGGCCTGTTCCTTCAGGGCAGGGCAGGGGGCCTGGTGACCCCCCACCCTCCCTCATCACCTCCCTGATGCTTGGCCATCACAGAACTCCTCCGTGTTTGTCATTCTCCAACTTCTGAAGGTTCATAAAGTCTCCTCGATGCTCTCTGGAGGCTGCCAAGCAGCAGAGCAGAGGCCAAGGGAGAGCCCACTGTGAGCAGCAGCGTCTGTCGCTGGAAGGACTGCTTCTCCTGGGAGGGGCCTTGCTGTCCCTCCCCCCTTCCCCACGGCTCTGAACTGGAGGCAGAGCTTCACCACAACAAGTTAACCCAGAATGAATGGAGTGCCATGTCTGTCATTTTGAACATGGGGCTCACCCCGACATTATTCCCCTGAGCTGATCAGTGAGCTCAGCTGTAATGTCTTTTTTACCCCTGGGAAGGGCTAATTATACAGGGACTGCCCTGTGGAAGGGGTCATGTGGTGAATTCTCCACTCTGCCTCCCACTTCTCTCCCGCTGTTCCAAACAGGCTCATTAATATAATTCTGTGGGGACCAGACCTTTAAAATGCATGAGAACAATAAGAGGAAAGAAAAATACATAATAGCAAGGGGAGAAGAGAAACCGCTGTTGGGTTTTAACAAGCACACTTTAATCACGCCCACTGCCGTTCATGAGCTTTTTGTCTATTTGTATTATAGATTAAATTTTTGATTAAATTATAGATTAAATTTCACACACACACACACACACACACACACACACACACACACTTTAAATCCCAGTCATGAGACTTGAACAAGGGAGAAGCAGCAATTGATTTCAGCGGGAGGGACAAGAAATTTTTATGAAAGTCAAGCTATGGGCTTCTTCAGCCCATTTTGGGGGGTGAATGTGGATTAGACCAGGCACCTGTAGGGGGTGGTTTTCTTTGTTGAAAAGTGGGCTGGGAGGGTGCTGTGCATGGCCACACACAGTAGGTCACCATAGCCTCCTATTTGTCCAAGGATTGATATCAAATAATACCGTTAGAGAGAAATAACTCCTGTTATTAACCACAGTCTTGGGCCAAGGAAAGGAAGGAATAATAAAAATACATTTTGCTTGTTTCTCTAGCAGCGGTTCTCAACCTGTGGGTCGCGAACAATGAAAATACATCCTGCATATCAGATATTTACATTACGATTCATAACAGTAGCAAAATTACAGTTATGAAGTAGCAACGAAAATAATTTTATGGTTGGGAGTCACCACAACATGAGGAACTGTATTAAAGGGTCGCAGCATTAGGAAGGTTGAGAACCACTGCATAGAGTCAAATTGAAGGCAAATAAAGAACATCTCCACCCCCCCCCCCCCCCCCCCCGCCAAATAATAACTTAATTTGAAAGCATTTTGCTTTTGTTTCTTCTTTGAACTTAATTTTCAGTTGGTGGAATGGGTTAGAAACCTGAGCCATTTCCACTTGGTAGCAAGGACGGAAGCAGGTACACATCCTCTCACAAAGAGAGACCAGGTCCCAGCTGTCGTTCCTTCTCCCCTAGTGGGAGTGTCTGTGGGGTCTTTATGGGATGAGGAGGAGGATGCTCTGGATGCATTACATGATGCCCGTGTGCCTCTGCTGTTAGGTGTCCTGTGGTCCCTGGTGAAGATGCCCAGTGAAGAGGCCCAGCTCGCCTATGGGGACCCCAGGAGAGGGCACGGCCACTCCTACATCACAGCTAAAGAGTAAGTTCAAAGCTTTTGCTCACACAGCTTCTGAATTCCACTGCACACGCCTGTCCATGAATCTCTCCAGTGTTTATTTCTCCAGAGAGCGAAACAGTGGCAATGAAGCGAGGAGACCTGTGGTCCCACAAGGGGCTCACACCAGCTTCTCTGAGCTGAACAGGCAAGGGGACAGGAATGGTAAAGAGTTGGATGTGGCCATTTTGGTCTGCATTCTTGGCTCTTCAGCCTTTGCTGTGGGCTCCCAAGCCAAAAAACATGTCTGGAAGCAAGTTGCCTCTTTCCTCAGGCTCCAGAAGGTGGTCTGCAGACAGAACAAAGGTGAGTTGCCAAAGAGCAAGTGAGGATGAAGGGCAGGCTTGTGATTCCACCTTTGCTTCATGACTATCCTCTGGAAAGGCGTTTGGTATTTTGAATCCACGAAGCGTTTCTAAGAGCTAAGCACTGTATAACCTGCCCAAGATGCTATGCTTCCCTTGAAAAAAGTCTTATGATCTTGTGGGAGAGTTAGGCACGAGGACGATTTCACAAGAGCAAGTGCTGTCATGGGAACACTGGCTGCAGGGACGCTGGGTGGGTCTGGGTGTGGTGGCAGGAGGGGAGCCCGCCCTCTGAGTGGGGGTTCCAACAAGACAGACAAGGAACCCTCTCTTCAGCTCCTGCCAGCCGGCTCGCCCTTGGGAAAGAGCTGTTGACAAATCCTTCCTAGAGTGAACTAGCAGGGCCAGCAAGTGTCAGACCCAGCCAGACACCAAGGGAGCATCTCCCCAAGGCGCCGTGGGTTTCCTAACGTCACGCATGGTCATCGGGGTGGGTGGGCAGATGTTCTGAAAAATTGTCCAAGAGCTAAAGGATACTCTTTGGGGGCTACATTGCACATGGTATTAAGTAGGATGCTGTTTTGGCTTCTGCATGATGACTCAACAGGCTCCGTAGCAGCAGGCGTGAGGGCACAGGTCACATGAGCTTGAAGAGATGCGGTTTCCTAGGCACTGCCACACGACCGGAGAGGCTGATTCGGTTGGACAGGGGGTGGGAGGCGGGGGCGGTGGGGGGCATTTGGGTGGGGTGCAGGTTCTGCACTTTCGCACATCTCAGGCGACTCCTCTGCAGAGGTATTGGGGTGACACTCTGAGGCCCAGCCCAGCTGGGGGTGGGTTTTCCTGGTGTGCGGCATAGGCTGGTGATTTCCGCTCTCAGTCAGTCCCTGGGGGTGTGAGTGCAACGTGACTGTGTGTGAAGAGCGGGCACAGAGCGAGTGGAACGAGCGCAGCCGCTGGGAATGGAGTCAGCTGCCTCCGTCACGGGGCCCACGGCTCGCTCCATGGGGCAGTTCCATTCCCGGAAGGGTGATCGGCAAAGCACCGGCCCAGGCGACGGGGCTGGGTCTGCCCACATTCTAGACGTGCGCGCTGGGTCCATGGGGCCAGTCGCTGTGGAAGCTGGTTCTGCCACTGACCTGTGCGCAACCTGAGGCACTGTACCAGCCTGAAGTCTTGGGGTGTCAGCTGCGGAACGAACATCCCATCTACCTCAGAGGTTGGCACGAAGATGGAATAAAAGCCCGTATGTGGGGGGCTTGGCGCAGACTGGTGCTCAGGGAGTAGCCCCGAAGGTGGTGGAGATGCTGATGAGTTGTGGTGGTTTTGGCTGCATGTGGGGGACTGGCCTGCAGCATCAGGTCAGAGCTGTATCCTGCCCTGCCATCCCCCTGGGAGGTGGGCTCTGGCCCCTCGGTGGACATGAGATGGTGATGGTGCAGCAGGTGGCGCTGGGCAAAGGTCTCTCAGTCAGATCCTGTTTCTCCTGCAGCTGCTCCGTCTCATCACTACCCAGCTCTGTGGAGTCTTTCTCTAACAGTGGTTCTCAACCTGTGGGTCGCTACCCCTTTGGGGGTCGAACGATCCCTTCACTGGGGTCGCCTAAATACAGTGGGGCCTTGACTTACGAGTTTAATTCGTTCCAAGACCGAGCTCGTTAAGGAGCTCGTTAACTCAAATCACTCTATCAACTCAATGCAAAAAATCGGCGGAGAGACAGCTGGTATCTCAAAAAACTCGTTAGTCGGGACATTCATAAGTCAAGGCCCCACTGTACATCCTGCATATCAGATATTTACATTACGATTCATAACAGTAGCAACATTACAGTTATGAAGCAGCAACGAAAATAATTGTATGGTTGGGGTCACCACAACATGAGGAACTGTATTAAAGGGTCGCGGCATTAGGAAGGTTGAGAACCACTGCTAGTGGGTCACAGGTAAAGGACTCTGCACTCTCCAGTTTGTTGCCGTTGCTCATGCTGTGAAGTGGAAAGGCAGGCAGGTGCCGTGAGCTGGCCATGTTACGCAGAGGAAGCAGAGCCCCGGGGCCTGGAAAAGGTCACTGGACACAGGGCCCAGGAGGCGGGCGTGGCTCCTGCCCCTTCTCAGCGAGGCTGCAGCTTTGCTCCAGGTGCAGCCGGACGCTCCTCCCAGGGCTGGGCTCAGGGCGGGGCTCAGGGCGGTGTTGTTTAGTGATCCCTGCCCTGCCGGCCAGCTGGGAGGCGCTTACCAAGTACCCACAGAGCACCTGGCTCCAGGGGTCATCTGGCCTCTCTGACTTGGCAGCCAGGTTGGCTGAGAGGTCAGACCTCTCATCTCAGCTGCTCCAGGGGCCTCCCGCCAGCTCTATTCTCAGATGCCCCTTCTAGTCCCTCAGGGGGGACCAGAGGAAGCAGCAAGCACCTGCCCTGGATTCCTGGAGCAAGTGGAGGCCCGACAGCAGCTTGCCTCGCCGAGCACACACAGGACACGTGTCCTGGCTGGGCTGGGCCCTGGCATCCCTGTGACACTTATAGTCTCCTGGGCCTTTCAGTCCTACAACAGAATGCCCCAGTTCTAAGCCCTCCGGGCCTGGTTTCTGAGCTCTCTCTGTCTCTTTATTAACTCTCTCCATCCCAAAGCCAAACCTGCTCTGTGGTATGTTGCTGATCCCTGTATTCTCACTAGAGTGCCAATGACTCACAAGAGGTTAAAGTCACATTTTGTCACAAATCCACATAGTTTTAGATAATTATTTTAAGAAGACATTAAATTGTTCATTCATTTTTCAGAGAGAGTGGTGTTATGGATTTGAGTTTGTTATGGATTATGGGTTTTGTAATGGATTATGAATTTGTAATCAGCCATAATGCATTTGTTCATTTTTTAAATTAATTTGTTTGGCCATCCATTCATCCATCCACCCAACTTCAAGAAATATTTCTTGAAACACCTATGTGTCTGACTCGTTCTGGACATTGAAGACACACACACACACACATACACACACACACATACACACACGCGTGCACACACACACACACACACAAAACGCCTCTGGGAGCTCTTGCCATGTCTAGAAGACACAGGGGAGCACACAGTGATCACCCACAGGGAGGCCTGTGAGAGAAGGCAGCATGGGCTGCCATCACACTGGGAGGAATGATGCTGAGTCTAGGAGAATGTGTTAGTCAAGGCAGGAAGGGAGAGAGGACATGGGTAAGGAGCAAGGTGTGGGGGACGGATAGGGCTGAGAGGGCACAAGGGAGTCAAGTTCAAATCCCATGCTATCTTTGTGGGACCATCAGCAAGGCACTTAACCTCTGCGTGTATTTCCTCATCTGTGAAATGGGGACAATAAGCGGTGCCTGCCCTCCAGGGCTGTTGTGAGAATTAAATAAGCTAATGTATCTAGAACAGTGGTTGCCAGACTTTTGGACCTCACGGACCACCAGCGGCCCACGGACCACCGGTTGGCGACCGCTGAAATGTTTAGCATGGCACCTGGCTAATAGTGGATGGTCAGTCAATGCTAATTTCCATTTCCTTTCTGTGGGCTGATACTTGGGGGAAATGATTTAACCAGCCCCAATGAAAAGATAATTCAGCCTCAAAAAATATATTGTCCACATGAGGGTCAGTTGCTACTGCACCTCCTGCACCAGGAACTTGGGTGCTCGTGCCCATGCCGGGTAGCAGGGCTCCTGTTGGCACATACCTGAGAGGCTCCTAGAGGAGGCGCTGCCCCTGGATGCAAGTGCTGGAGGCCTGGTGGCTGCCCGGTGTGCCATGTGGCGGGAAATTACTTGGGGACTGGGTGGTGCTGTGCTGGGCTGGCAAGTCCCTGTGAAGAGAGGAACAGGTGGTCACAGTGTGGAGGAAGTACCAAGCTGGATCTGTCTGTCTCTTGGGCCAGGATCGCAGGGATTGGTGTCCTGACGGTGATCCTGGGACTTGTGCTGTTCCTTGGCTGCTGGTATTGTAGAAGACGAAACGGATACGGGAGCCTGAAGGTTGGTAAAGCTCCCACTGCTGGGACCCATCCAGGGCCGGGGCCCTGCTTCCCCTTCTTCCTCTGAACTTCTGGGCGATGGGGTAACATTCTCATGATCACGTCTAGCTCTGGTTCCCGGCCCTTTCTCTACATTGTATTTCTTACAACTCTTCCATGGCCTCTGCCCACATCAACCCCAACCAGGAACTTGGCCGCTCTTTGGTTCCACTCAGAACAAACGCGTGCTGGCCGTGTGTGTGCTGAGCACTGATAGTTTGGGGGGCACAGGGCAGGTTTGTGGTCCTCTTTTTAAAAAAATATATTTTATTGATTTTTTACAGAGAGGAAGGGAGAGGGATAGAGAGTTAGAAACATCCATCAGCTGCCTCCTGCACACCCCCTACTGAGGATGTGCCCACAACCAAGGTACATGCCCTTCAGTCCGCAGACTGACGCTCTATCCACTGAGCCAAACCGGTTAGGGCTTGTGGTCCTCTTACACAGCAAACAGCAGCAAGGAGACACTCCAGGTCCTACCAATCCACCTGGGGATCCTCACTGTGTCTGCTGCTCCACTTAGGGGCCGCCCCTCTCTCCTTGTCTTCACCCCTTTCCTCTCCGGTTGCCTGGGAATTCTAACTCCGCTCTACCAAGCAACCCAGTATACCCAGGACCCACCTAGCCATCAGTGCAGTGAGGTAGCCATTCCCTCCTCAGCAGCACAAAGGCCCACGAGGTGCTTAACAGGCTCCATCTTCCTTTGATGGCCGATGTGGTGCCAGTAGGATTTTTCCTTCTTTACCTTTATGATCAGGAAGCTAGCAAGTGGCACAGTTCAGTCTTGGGGCCGCAAGATATTCCACAAATGAAAACCATCAATTGAGTCTTGAAACTATAAAAACTACAGGTTTCAGAAAGCTGGCTTCAAAGCCAGGGAGCACCCTAGCACCGAAGCATCCAAAGGCATTATCCGCAGTGAGCAAGGGAATAGGAGAGCTGCATTTTCTCCTTTCTTCCCTTCTCTTCCCTTCTCCCCTCTTGTCTTCTCTTCTCTCGCTCCCTCTCCTGTCTCTTTCTTGTTATTACAGATTCGAAGGCTTCTGAGGCTGATACGTAATGGAAAACATTTATCTTTATAAAAGATGTTGGGAAGTCGGATTCCTCACTCCGAGGAAAAGGTTCTGTGATTGATAGAGGGGAGGAGTGGGGTGGGTGGCAGGCCGTGGCTTGGCAAACATAGGTGCAGAGGGGAAGGTGAGGGCTGTAGCTTTGAATTCTCCTCCTTGCCAGGAAGCTTGGGCAGTTCCATGTACCCCTTTTCTTAATATGCATCTTGCCAGAGTGTCCCAAATACAACATGAAGCCAGGGGAGCTTGGGGGCTGACACATCCATTGAGCAGCAGCCCTTCAGTGTGTTGACATTTCAGGGGAAGGAGGAGAAGTTGCTGAGTTTGAATAAGACTCCAAAACCAAGTACCCTAGGAAAGCCTTGGGCAGGTTAGGGATGACACCTCTCTGCGGCCGACCACAACAGGTTAGTTAAGGGGAGCGAGGGGGCCTTTGCTTTCTGCCACAGAGCTCCATGGTGCCTCTAGCACAGGGTTATGACATTGCCTTGCAACTGGCTATTTACTTTTTGCCCCTCCCATCCCTTCTCTTTCTCTCATGTATGAACTGGAATGGAGAATATTTCTTTCTTTTTTAGTATGTTCTTATTGATTTTTTATTTTATTTTTTTTAGAGAGAGAGGGAGGGAGAAGAGGAAGGGAGAGAGAGACATCTATTGGCTGCCTCCTGCATGCCCCCTACTGGAGATTGAGCCTGAGATCTGGGCATGTGCCCTGACCTGAATTGAATCAGGGACCCCTTGGTGCATGGGTTGTCCAACCACTGAACTACACAGGCTGGGAGAGAAAATTTTTTTATTCATCTTTGTACCTTGTGACCAGCACAGTGCCTGACACGCAGCAATCACCCAATTGTGTGGCATTGGGTTTGGCCTCATTATCTGCCATTGACTTGCGAGGTGACCTTAGCTTTGAACTCCTCTAAACCTCATGTGATCTGTTCTATACCTAGACACATGATATAAGATGACCTATATCTGTTTTTATTTTATTTACCTTTATTGTTGAAAGTATTATAGATGTCCCCTTCCCCCACCCCATTCCTTCCCCCTCTGTTTTTATTTAATATACTAAAGGCCCGGTGCACAAAAATTTATGCACGGTGGGGGGAAGGTCCCTCAGCAGGGCCTGTGCCCTCTCACAGTCTGGGACCCCTCGGGGGATGACCATCTGCTGGTTTAGGCCTGCTACCCAGGGGATTGGGCCTAAGATGGCAATCAGACATCCCTCTGGCAGCCTGGCAGCCCTCAGGGGATGTCCACTTGCCAGCGGGGAGCAGACCTAAGCTGCAGTCGGACATCCTTAGTGCTGTTGAGGAGGCAGGAGAGGCTCCCACAACCACCGCTGTATTGGCAGCCATCAGCTGGACTTGTGGCTGAGCAGAGCTCCTCCATGTGGGAGCTCACTGACCACCAGAGGGGAGCTCCTGCATTGAGCGTCTGCCCCCTGGTGGTCAGTGTGTATCATAGTGACCAGTCATTCCCAGTCTTTCTGCTGTTAGGGTCAGTTTGCATATTGCCCTTTAACTATATAAGATAGAGGCCTGGTGCACGGGTGGGGGCCGGCTGGTTTGCCCTGAATGGTGTCCCAGATGAGGGTGGGGGTCCCGCTTGGGTGCCTGGCCAGCCTGGGTGAGGGGCTGATGGCTGTTTTCAGGTGGGCCAAGCCTGCAACTGAAGCTCCCAGTCTCTCCTTTTTTTCTTTTTCTTTTTAATTCTGAGATTTATTTACCTTCTGTAATTGAAACTTTGTTGCAGCTCCAGCTCTGAGGCCGGCTGGCTGAACGCAGGTATCTGGGATTTGTTTAGTTTCTATAAGTGAAACATTGTTGCTTCTGGAGCTCAGAGCCGGGCTGCAGCAGGCCAGGAACCTTGGCTTCCTCCATCACTGGAATAAGCAAACCTCATGTTCGCTTCAGCTGCGTGGCTGCCGGCCGCCATCTTGGTTGGCAGTTAATTTGCATATCACCCTGATTAGCCAATGGGAAGCGTAGCGGAGGTATGGTTAATTACCATGTTTGTCTATTATTAGATAGGATATCTTTTCTATATAGTTTTTATTCATTTTGTTTGTACATTAAAAATCACAATGGTTTAGTTTTTCAAGGAGTAAAAGTTCTACAAACTCAGTATGTTGGTATTCATTTCTTAACTGTCCACAGTTGCTAGCTAGATGATTCTGGGCAAAAAGACAATATTTTTTCTTTTTAATTTTTTTTTATTTCCTTTCTGCTTCAACACTCTCATCTTGAACTCATTCACCTTAAGGGTAAGAGAGTCTTAACATTGTGGGCTCAGACACTGGGCATTTTGCTTGGTGAGGTTCAAGTCCAGCCGGCCATGCCTCCATTACTCTAGGCCTTCTTCAGTGATGTGAGGTTTCTGGAATTTTTATGTGTTTATATTCTCTGCTTCCCAACTGTCTAAAAATGCTCCCTGTCATATATTTTTTAAAATTAATATTAAAATATTGTTTTGAGACTTTTATAACTCCTGAAATGCTAGGTTGGGAACCAGCAGTCTAAGAAATGTAGGCAAAATGATGTAAAATAGGGCATTAGGTAATGCATTTAATTACATAATCACCTCCCTGTCTCTCTTTGGTGATTCCATTTTCATTTTAAAACAGAAGTACATACATGACAATAAATGCAAACTGTGGGTGTCTGAGTGACTCCACCTTTAGCAACCTTCATTGAGCTTGGGAATGTCCACTTTCCCTGAACACAGAATGGTAGCAAGGTTAGTTGGAATTAAGATCTAAAATTTCTCCCTTGGCTAAACAATTCCCCTTAGACATGGAACACATCCTTTGAAAGTAAAGACTGCTTTTTGCAGCAATGTGTTTCTTCCGGAAAATGATTTTAAGGCGCTGGAACTTGGCTTTTGTATTTACCAATTTTACTCTTTCACCTGGAAGTTTCGTGCACAATCCTTGAGATCCTTGGAGAGCATTTTGAGGCCCCTGCTGACAGCGGAGTTTGCGCCCATGTCTTGTGGTGTCTGTTTCTCTGTGCATGGCCGGGGGCTCCTGCACGCCCACCACTGGGGGTTTCTTGCTGAAATTCAGATTCTGGGGCCAGCTCTGGTGGCGAGACCCAGAAACCCTCATTTTAACATGCACACCATGGCAGGTGAGAGATCTGAAAAGCAAAGAAAAAGAAGAAAAGCAATTATTGAGTAAAGGGAGAGATACATTAAATATTACTTTGCTTTTCTGAGGTGTAGCTCTGGGGTCTGGGCTGACAGGGGTGGGGGTTGGGGGAGCAGAACCTCCCTGTGTGGTCATGTCATTAGGGCCCTTGGGGTGATTGCTTTAAGCCACTGAATTTAGGGACGTTTGCTGTGTAATGATAGACAGCTGACATAGGATATTTGCCTTAATTTGCTTATGTTTTCTTTAGGATTTCTGCACACACTTTCAGAAGGAAGATTAGATTATATTTTCTCATCTTTTCCACTGTCCTTGTCTGCTTTTCATATCAACATTATACAACCCTTTAAAAAAGGAGCTGGGTGTGTTCCTTTTTTTCCTAGTTTCTGAAAGCATCGGGGTAAGTTTGACATTATTTTTTCTTTAACATTTGATTAAAAAGAGCCTGGCAGGCATGGTAAGGTGTTAGAGTGTCAGCCCGCACACCGGAGGGGCATGGGTTCCATTCTTGGCCACCGGCACACGTACCTGGGTTGCAGGTTCGATCCCTCCCCTCAGGTCGGGGCTCTTTGAGGAGGCAATCGGTGTGTTTCTCTCACATCGATGTTTCTCCTCTTCTCTCCCTCCCCCTTCCTTCCACTCTCTAAAAATCAATGGGGAAAAAATACCCTCATTCCTTAGGCGAGGATTAAAAAAAGAGAGAGAGACAAAATAATACATATGAAAAAGATTAGGGTTCTGGCCTCGTCCAATTTGATGCTCCTAACACTCCTCCCTGGGAAACCTGCCTGGATGCCTTTCTCATGCAACCTGGCAGACAGACCCCCCCCCCCCCCCGGGGTCTTCCTTGGCCCACAGAGGAGCCGAGGAGCCTCAGATCCCCTGCACACCTCCCCGTCCCAGCCTCCCTCAGCCACAGAGCACGCTGCTCTCACCCCGCTGGCTGGATTTGGCCCGCAGATAGGTTTGGGCCTGTCTTTTTAAAAATTGAAGTAACATTTTACATAAAAATCTTGATTTCCAGTTTCTTTAAAAAAAAATCAAAAGATCTGGGAAAAACTGGCAGTGGCTATCCCTTCAGATGGGACAGACACTCCCTCCTTTCCTATGGCCTCACCTGACCCCCTTCATCACCTGCCTGGTCCCTCTGAGTATAGCTGAGTTGCATGAGGCACAGGCAATAAGAAGGTGCATTGTCTGTGGAGCAGAGGTTCTTGGTGTGGTCCTGGCCCAGCAATATCTCCTGGGAACTTATTAGAAATGCAAATTCGTGGGCCTCACCCCAGGCTGACTGAGTCAGAAATTCTGGGTGTGGCCCAGCAATGTGTTTAGCGGGGCCTCCAGGGAATGCTGATGCACGCTCACGTTTGAGAACCATTGTTGTAGAGACTTTAACAATAATAAAAGCAACTAAAAGTTAGTCTGTTTTTTATTATCACAAAATGCCAGCAATTTTTAACATTATCAGTGATTAAAGACTCTACCTCACCAGGGTGGACCACTCCTGCAGTCTCTACTTTAGTTTGTCTCTCTCTGTCTTGTACAAACTGTTGTCATTCTATTCTAGGGGTGAAGAGCATCACCCTCTAACCCTATGCAAAGCACTAAGCTTTTAGCCCCCCCCCCCCCCCCCGCCCCCCAAACCTCAGGGTGCATCGCTTAGCCATAGACTGACTTGTCATCATTGTTGCAACTTGACTTGAAAGCCCAGGGCCACAGCCTCAGCATTTCTATCACAGTACATGCGTTCGGAGTGTTTAAGATATTTTGCTGTCATTATGCAAAAGGCAGACACAGAGTGTGTCTCTGCTGGCATGTGGTCAGATGTGTGTCCTCACTGTCATACCAGTCCCTGCCTCACTAGTTCTGATCTACTCCACTTGCATTCATTCTAAAGTTCATTTTTTTAGATTCACTCTTTTTCCCTTCCCTTTAAAAATAGTCATTGAGCCTGGCCTGTGTGGCCCAGTGGTTGAGCGTCGACCTATGAACCAGGAGGTCACGGTTTGATTCCCGGTCAGGGCACATGCCTGGGTTGGGGGCTTGATCCCCAGTGGGGGGCATGTAGGAGGCAGCTGATCAATGATTCTCTATCATCATTGATATTCCTATCTCTCCTTCTCCCTTCCTCTCTGAAATAAAGAAAAAATATTTTTACAAAAGCCATTGACAACTGGGAACCAGGCACTGCACTGGGTGCTCTACCTTTAGTTAACTCCTGCAACAGCTGTGAGAGGTGGATGATGTTATTTTCATATTACAGATGCAAAAACTGGAGTTCTGAGGGGATACACAGTATGTGGCACAACCAGGACTAAAAGCCAATCTTAAAACGTCACCTTCTTTCTCATTTCTTTAATGGGCTCCATCTTTCCTTCTCACCCACTGATCTTCATGAATTCACATTTCAGGGCAAAAGCCGTTACGTTGGTACTCAAGGTACCTTTACAGGAAGATGCCTACGTGAGGGACTTGGTCACCAGGACAGCAAGCTGCCTTTTCTAGAGAACAATTATGAACCTGTGGTAAGTTGAGATCCTGCATGTTGGTGTTTTCGTGTATGGCTGCTTTTAACTCAAATGAATAAAATTATTCCTATTTTAAAAGCCAGGACAAGGTGAATGTATTTAATACTACTGAACAGTACACCTAAAAAGTTAAAATAGTGAATTTTGTCTATTTTACCATAATGAAAAATAAGAAAGGTAAAAAACAAGGGAAGCACAGAAATGTTCTTAGACTGTGTTCGCTCATACCGATTTTCCAGGATCAACAATGACAGCTTTACATGTAGGATCCAAAGGAAGAACTTGGTTCTGGATACAATATCCTTTTGTCTTATGTTTTTAGTATACTTGTCTATGTCCTGAACATAGATATATTTTAGGGAGAAAATAAAAGACCTGTTATTATTTTTATAGAGCTGTGCTACACAGTAGGGTAGCCACTAGCCACATGTAGCTATTGAGCACTTAAAACACAGCAGTTTGAATTAAGATGCACTTTACTACATATCAGATTTCAAAGACTTAGTATGAGGAAAGAACATAGATAATTCATCAATCATTTTTATATCAGTTACATGTTGAAATAATATTTTGATATGTGGGTTTAAATGAAATATATTAAGATTAATTTTACCTGCAGTAAAAATGCAATGTATTTAGTACCTGCAAACAGGGTTCAATAATTCATTAGTTAGGGCTTGGGACTTCTACTGACAAGGATATTCTAGGTATATAGGGTGTCCCCCAAAAACTATACACACACTTTGAATGATTATAAAGGCAGTGTTTATTAAAATACATTTTCAAAATTGAGCCATCAGCTACTAAAGTGTGCATACATTTTGGGGAGATGCCCTGTATATAAGTTTTTGAGGTTTTGGAAAGCCCTTAGCCCTATTTTTCTCTACTCTTGCCCCAACAATGTTTCAACATGCACACTTGTGAAATTTAACTATGATTACCTTGTTGGATGGAAATTAGATGTGGACACGTAAAGGTTCAGTCCAGAGAAAAAGTAGAGTTATGTTACTTAATGGCTGTCCCAGAAACATGCACTGTGGCCAACGCCCTATTCTCCCTTTCTCGTCCTCCCAGGTTCCCAATGCCCCACCTGCCTACGAGAAACTCTCCGCTCAGCAGTCCCCACCACCTTACTCTCCGTGAGAGCCAGCAAGGCCCCTGAGAGATGCTGAAATGATTCGCCTCACACTTTGGATTACATTGAATGTGGACATTTAACGTCCTGCTTCGGGATGCGGTAGAAACAGTGTACATCATCACTAACAATAAGCTTAGTGCTAAATTCTTAGTAGGGAAACTAGCAATACTAATGGAGGAAATGATGAAAAATATTAAAATGGAAAAATGTTGTCAATAAACATTTTGAGGCATGATACTATCTGTGCCAGTAGTAATGCTAATACATCTATGGTGTTATTTCTGGAGGGACAGAATTTAAATGTGTGTTCTGGGACCATTCAATTTCTTTTCAGTTGAAATTTGGCTAATAACTAACCAAGTACTATTCTGATTTTTCAAGAAGCAACCTCTTGAACTGAACTCTAGCAGGTGAGTTTGTGTTATGGAGTGCTCGCAAAGGATACCTTTACAGGTTTAAGACCAAGAGCTGGTTGACCTTCCAGATGACACAGGCAGCCTCATCTGATCAGGAAGGTGTCAGCAATGTCTCTGCTGAGATTCCAAGATGCTGCAGCAATGCAGTGCGGAGGTCCTCTTTCCTAAGTAACACATAAACACAGTCCTAATCTCATTTCATTTCAGCGCTCAATGTTATAATAATTAATGACAAGAATTTCCTGTTATTCTAGAAGGTGGTGTCAGAATTTAAATAAGTAAAAGCCACTGTAGTTTGGCTGACATCTTACCTCCTTAAATGTCCCAATGGCAATTCAGTTCCTTTGGGCTCCCAAATTCCTCTTAAAGGAGCATATAGAAGAAATCACAAAGACTCAGAGGTTCTGGAATAGTGTCGTTATTTACTGGCAACACTACAATTTTTTTGTTGTTGACATCTACATATCATGTATACTATTATTTATCTAATATTTTTTTCAGCCAGCTCATTAAAATGATTGGCTCAAATTTCCACCCTAAGTGGAAAATAGTATCTTTTTTCATAAGTAGAGGATAACTATAAACATGAAGATAATGAAAGCAAATTATTCTTATTAAAACCCAGGAAGATACTAATGGTTGCAGAAGGTTGTCAACCCGAGACCTGCTCTCTTTATTAATGAGGGAGATTAGCAAGAGCTGGAGAAAAGCTTTTAACATAATGAAAAGGCTTGCAGGAGAAAGAAATGACTTTCTCACTATGTGACTCAGTGTTACCTAGTGCTGAGTCACCAAAACACCTAAAATCGTCTTGTGTCATTGGAAACACCAGTGCAGCCGAACTGCATCATTTCCTACAAAAAACCGAATTGTACGGAAGAGAAAAAAACACAGAATAAAGAGACTTATTACACACATTGAAAAAAAGTCATTCACCCGGCCAGTGTGGCTCAGTGGTTGAGCGTTGACCTATGAACCAGGAGGTCACAGTTTGATCCTCAGTCAGGGCACTTGCCTGAGTTGTGGGCTGGATCCCCAGTGTGGGGTCTGCAGGAGGCAGCAGATCAATGATTCTCACGCATCATTGATGTTTTTCTCTCTCCCTCTCCCTTCCTCTCTGAAATCAATACAAATATATCTTTTTAAAATTCACTTTATATCTATATCTACATCTACATCTATATCTATGTCATTCAACAAAATACTAAAATACTTCCCTGCCCTTTCTGACTGTCCAGTCTTACCACTTAAAATAAGCCCTGTCCCCATCCCTGTCGTCCCCGCCCCCGACACCCTTTTACAACAACAACAACAAAAGAGTTCTAAACAAAGTAAATTCCATCAGGCATTTGGGCAGCTCCTTTCCTCATTGAAAGGCCTAGTTTGAGCCCTAACCTGCACATTCATAGAATAGCCTATGGCTTGCTCCCTGGACCCCTCCAAGATCTCCAGCTCATCTACCATCCGCTGAGCATTCTCTCCTTTCCCTGTGGAAAAATGGCTCTTTTCCCAGAGTCCCTCAGTGTCCCAGGCAATGGGCAAGGGGGTTGAGCTGTCTGCCAGAGAGAAACTAGAAGAGTGAGATTTTGTTTCAAGGAATAGATATGGGGTGCCAGGCTCAGCCAAAAGGACCTGCCCCCTACACAGAGGCAGCCACACTTTTGAAAACGACTCCCTGGATTGAGGGCCAATTGTGGGACAATTTTGGGAGCCAGGAGCTGGAGATTGCAGGGTCACATGATGGGAGGAGCCTGGGTCACAGACACCAGTGAAGAGTCTCCCTCACCTAGGAACGCTTGGATTGAATGAGGACAAATTGGCTCCACAGAAAATCCGTGAACTGTTAAGGCTTTGCCAAATCTGACATTGAAATCCAGGGATGGTAGTAATACCTTTGTTGAGGCCCTTCACTGCTCTGCCCCTGCACACCTGGATGGAACACACACAAATGAGGGCTAGACGGGTGCCTCCCGGGGAGCTAGGTCCCTGTGACCTCTGCAGGCAGGATCAGGCTTCCCTGCTGCCCAAGGAAACTTGAACACAAGAGCATAAGCCTCATCCAGGGTCCTGTGCACAGGTGTCCTCTACTGCAGCGTGCTCCCCCCCACCCCTCGCCCAACTACCTTGTGGGCCTAGTGGGTAATGGCATGGCATGACTTTAATCTCCTAGGTTTCCTGCAGGAACAGGTCAGGACTAGAGCAGCCAGAGATCATGGATGATCTCCTCTGGGTGCAAGCCTTGTTTTCTGTGTCCAAATGTGCTGGATAAATAATATCACTTCCCCTTTGTGTAGTGAGTCTGTTTTATAGAACCTGGTCTTCCCTCCTTCTCCTGGCCCCCCTTCAGCCCCCAGGTGTTGTCTGATGTTTGATTCAAGGCCCAAGTCTCTATGGTTTCCCTAGGAGATTCTGATATGGATTCTCTGATTGTAAAGAGAGTAAAGAGCAGGCGAACTTGAGGGAAAAAGAACTAGCCAAAGTATTCTCCGCCTGGGTTCAAGTTCGTGAGGAGCTGGCAAACCAATGGAGCCCCAAGTCACCTCTAGTGGAGACCGGTCCTCTGCAGCTACAAGTACTGAGTTTGGTAGCACTTATAAATCTGGGTAGCTCCGGTCATCACTTGAGAATGTTACAGCACTTTTCCAAAAAAGGACAGAAAACAGGAAGCCCCCTACACTTTCTTTCTTTCTTTTTAAAAACATATTTTATTGATTTTTTGCAGAGAGGAAGGGAGAGAAATAGTTAGAAACATCAATGAGAGAGAAACATCGATCAGCTGCCTCCTGCACATCTCCCACTGGGGATGTGCCTGCAACCAAGGTACATGCCCTTGACCGGAATCAAACCTGGGACCTTTCAGTCCACAGGCCGACGCTCTATCCACTGAACCAAACCGGTTTTGGCTACACTTTCATTTCAAGGCTTTAAGGACTGACAGTGTCACCTGAAAATGCATAGAAATTCCTCTATCTCAGGTGACTGATGACGAAACATCATAAAATCATCTCTGAGGAATGCCGAGCAAGTTCGGAGGGAAGTCACGGATGGCTTGGATAAAAACACTCATTTTGAAGAATGCCCAAAACTGCTATCCCAAGAAGCTGTAAGATGAAAGAAAGTGTGGGAAATGAAGAAACAGGAAAAAAAAAAAAAAGAAAAAAAAGCTGACAACTTGAAAACACCAATGAGAGAGGTGTTAAATGATAAAGAGAGCCCATTAAAATCTCTGAAAAGGTGATAAAGATAAGTCTGCCTGCTTTCTTCAGAAATGATTACCTGGTTGATGGCTATCTGAAATCAGACAGAGAAAATTAAACAAATGAGAACCCCTCATTGACTGTCAATGAGACGTCAATTTGAAGGGATATACCAATCCTGTTAAGTGTTCCTTTAAAAAGACTTGAAGGAAAAAGATTAAGGACTATTTAAAAAGTTAAGAAATTTAAATTAACAAATACTTACAGTTCAAATGAACAGTGTCCAAACAAACATCTTTGCAGTCTGAAAATAGTTTGCAAGAGAGACTCAAAAACTTCAAATATTGCTGGACTAGTCAACAACATGTGCAATGCAGATTTGCAAAAAATCAATTGAGGAAAGAATTTACTGCTTAGCAATCTGGAAGAAAGTTCCCGAAGTATATGAAAATACATATACATTAGAAGCACGGCTCCTACAAGAAGATGGCTTTGACAGTTGGAAAGAAGCACTTCCTTGAAGATCAGCTGGATTGCCTCCTATGAGAAAAAAGCTCAAGTAAGGTGGATGGCAGCCTGGCGGAGAGAAAGCTCACTGAGACAAGAAAAGAAAAGGATCACAACAGACAAAATATTGGCTGAAGAAGTTTGAATTCCAGCTTTTCCAGCAGAGGCCAGGAAGCATCAGGTGACTCCCTAAATCATCAGGTCCCCAGAGGAGAGGTCAAGCTGTGAGGACTCAGGTATCTGAGCCATCTGCAGGTTTGATTCAGGTTTACAGCAGCCAACTCAATTTCTAAAGGACGTGTTTTCTCTTTAAAAATAATTTTTAGATAATAATTCTTCCAGTTTGATTTTACTTACTTGATGCTACATTTGCTCAAATTGAAGTTTAATGGAATCATTATTAAGATAGCGTTTTGAGGATCTAGATCAGCCGTGGGCAAACTACGGCCCGCGGGCCGGAGAAATGAATAAAACTAAAAAAAAAAAAAAAGACCATACCCTTTTATGTAATGATGTTTACTTTGAATTTATATTAGTTCACACAAACACTCCATCCATACTTTTGTTCCGGCCCTCCAGTCCAGTTTAAGAACCCATTGTGGCCCTCGAGTCAAAAAGTTTGCCCACCCCCTGCTCTAGATGGTTTTATTAAAATTCTAGACCATTTCATTAATGTTCTAGAATTAGATCCATATAAACATTGTATTTAATCCTCACCCGAGGATATTTTCCCATTTTTAGAGAGAGTGGGAGAGGGAAAGACAGAGAGAAATATTGATGTGAGAAACACATCAATTGGTTACCTCTTGCATGAGCCCTGACCAGGGCCTGGGCCAGGGAGGAGCCTGCAGCCGAGGTACGTGCCTTTGACCGGAATCAAACCCGGGACGTTTTGGTCTGAAGGCCGATGCTCTATCCACTGAGCCAAACCAGCTAGGGCTGGCATTACATAAGTGCATACAAGTGCTTTTATTACAGTTGTGAAGGAGTGATCTGTCCTTCTCAATCTATGACCTCAATCTGTAACTGCAATATGATGCTGGCTCGGGTATGGTAAGGAGAGGAAGTTATGTAATAGTAGTCCTACGAATGAGTAGCTCGCTGCTGCCCTCCTGTAGCTCCGCCCCCGCCCCCCC